AATATAGTAAGCGTTATTAGTGCATACGCCCCTCAAGTAGGATTAGATGATCAGACTAAGAGGGATTTTTGAGGGCAAATTGATGAGATCTTATAGGAGATACCCGTAGGAGAGAACCTGGTTATAGGTGGTGATTTTAATGGCCATGTAGACATAGATAAACTAGGCTATGAAATGGTGCGTGGTGGATACGGTTTTGGTGATAGAAATGAGGCTGGAGAGTGTATCTTAGATTTTGCGCTGGCTTTTGACCTGGTGGTGGCCAATACTATGTATAAGAAGAGGGAGGAGCATTTGATAACCTTTAAAAGTTGGTCAGTTAAGAGCCAAATAGATTACTTCTTAGTGAGAAAAGTGGACTGCCTAAAATACAATGATTGTAAAGTGATTCCTGGAGAGAGCCTGACCTCTCAACATAGGATCTTGATACTAGATTTATGTTTTAGAGGACAATACCAAGCTAGGAAGAATGGTGGGCGTCGTAGGACGAGATGGTGGGACCTAAAAAGGGATAAATTAGAAATATTTAAGAATAGAATGGAGAAGGAAGGTACTTGGGAATTGGAAGATGATACTAACACTATATGGAATTCGATGGCCAATTGTATGAGGAGAATCTCAAGGGAAGTGCTTGGAGAGTTGAAAAGAACGGGACCCGGCTACAGGGAAACTTGGTGGTGGAGGGAAGAGGTCCAAGCAGTAGTTAAGGCAAAAAAAGAGTGCTTTAAAAAGTGGCAAAAGGATAGAACTGAGGAAAACCTTAAAAGCTATAGATTGGCTAATAAGGAGGTCAAGAAAGTAGTGAGAGAGGCTAAGTTGAAAGCTTATGATGACCTATACACTAGACTAGATAGTAAGGAGGGAGAGAAGAGGGTATACAAACTTGCTAAGATACGGGAGAAGAAAACAAGAGATTTTAATCAAGTTAAGTGCATTAAGAGTAAGGATTCTAAGGTATTGGTGAGGGATGAAGAGATTAAGGAAAGATAGAAGAACTATTTTGAGAAACTATTAAATGAGGAACATGGAGGTACGGCAATAGGGGAAGAAATAGCCAGTAATACGATAAACCAAGACTATAGGTTCTATAGCAAAATTAAAAACTTTGAAGTGGAGATTACACTTAAGAAGATGAAATCCAATAAGACTTTAGGACAAGATGATATCCCTATTGAAGTTTGGAAGTGTTTGGATAAAAAGGGGGTTGCTTGGTTGACTAGGTTGTTTAGCAAAATTTTGTTGACCAAGAACATGCCAGATGAGTGAAGGAAGAGTATTTTAGTGCCAATCTATAAGAATAAATGAGATGTCCAGAATTGCAACAACTATAGAGGAATCAAGCTAATGTGTCATACAACGAAAGTGTGGGAGAGGGTGATAGAACGTCGATTGCGAGATATAACAGAGGTGTCAGAGAATCAATCTGGATTTATGCCTGGCAGGTCAACAATGGAAGCGATCTATCTTTTGAGGAGAGTAATAGAAAAGTATAAAGAAAAGAAAAGAGACATTCATATGGTGTTTATCGATCTTGAGAAAGCTTATGATAGAGTGCCCCGGAATATAATATGGTGGGTGTTGGCGAAGAAAGGGGTGATAAAAGGTTACATTGATGTGATTAAGGACATGTATGAAGGGGTGGTGACCACTATTAGATCGCCTGCTGGAGAGACAAATGAATTTCTTATTAATATAGAGTTACACCAAGGATCTGCCTTAATTCCTTATCTTTTTACTTTAGTTATGGATGAGTTGACCAGAAATATTCAAGATGACGTGCCATGGTGTATGCTTTTTGCAGACGATATGGTGCTAGTCGATGAGACTAGAGAAGGAGTTAATACAAAGTTGGAGATTTGGAGAAAAGCTCTTGAATCTAAAGGATTTCGGATAAGCAGAACTAAGACAGAATATATGGAGTGTAAATTTAGTAACAGTAACAATGAAAATAGAGATGCAGTGAAGATTGAGAACCAAGAACTGCCTAAGAGTGAACATTTTCGTTATTTAGGATCGATTATCACAACAGCGGGGGAGATTGATGCGGATGTGGCCCATAGGATTAAGACGGGATGGTGTAAGTGGAGAAGTAAGTCTGTGATACTGTGTGATAAACGAATACCCACTAGACTTAAAGGTAAGTTCCATAGAACGGCTATTAGACCAGCGATGTGGTATGGGATGGAGTGTTGGGCAACAAAGAAACAACATGTAAATAAGATGAGTGTGGCCGAGATGAGAATGCTGAGGTGGATGTGTGGCCAGACTAGACAAGACAGAATTAGGAATGAGTGTATTCGGGAATGGGTAGGAGTAGCACCGATAGAAGATAAGTTGAGAAAGAATTGATTGAGATGGTTTGGTCATATTCAATGAAGATCAACAGAGGCAGTAGTGAAGAGATGCAATGTTGTAACAGTAGATGGCAGTGTTAGGGGACGGGGTAAGCCTAGATTAACGTCGGTTAGCGTTGTAAATAGAGATATGGATCTACTTAATTTGACTAACGAAATGATCTTTGATAGGGCCGCGTGGAGAAGAAGGATTTATGTAGCCGACCTCATTTGATGGGACTTAAAGCTTGGTTTGGTTTGGTATAAATAGTTATCTAAAAACAATATTTGGCCAAAAGACCATTGGCACCAATAATCTAACAGGAACTGCATAAATTTTTTTAATAAGAGAGTTGAATCACAAACAGAGAACAAGTTAGCAAAGTCAATAGCCAGTCAAACAGTTAGCAAGTCAAATGTCGTCTTAAATACTGCCAAAGAGCAATTCCTAAAGTGAAAGTCAAAATGGCTTTGCCAAATCCATTTTTTTTAAAAAAATTGTTTGTCTATAATTGTTTGCCAACTCCGTGATGTTTAGCTCGTGATGGTGTGCCCATTTGAGTGCTCAAGAGTGGCCGTTGGAAGTGCCTCAATGTGGCTTGACATTGGCCCCAAGCAGCCCAGGGCATGCGGGCCAGCAGCAGCCAGCAGTAGCAAGGCCGCAGCCCATGCCAACAGCCAGCGCTAGCTGCCAGCACCAGCAGCAAGCAGCAAGGCCGCAGCCCACTGTCAGCGGCCAGCAGCAGCCAGCAACAGCAGCCAACAGTGCAGATTTTTGGCGCATTGTTTGGGCATCCAAATGAAGGAGTTTCGAGTTGAAATTTTTACTGGCAAGAGGTCTTGGGGGAAGTGTTTTCCTGACTAAGTTTCGTGATTTTTCTCAATTTGTGGAATTTATGAAAAATCATTATGACTCCTCGGACATAAGGATGTTTCCTCCTGCCAAAGGGCTAATTGCTTAACAAGCATATCTAAGGGGGCAAGGTGTGCTATCTACCTGCCTCCCCGCCCAAACTGGACTAAGGGGGCAAGGTGTGCTACCTACCTGCCTCCCCGCCCAAACTGGGCTTCAAGTGAGCAACCTTGGGGCAACTCAAGGGCGAGCTTTAGGCATCCAGAGGTGTATTTAGAGTCTCTACGTGGGTTTGGGAGCCTCGTGGACGGTGCAATAATGTAAGCACTGCGTGTGCCTCCCGAGGGAGAGGTTTGACACGTTGTCTTCCTCATGCCATGCGTTATGGCACTTGGGGACTCGTTTAAGACCGAATGGGCTATCGAGGCACCACCAAAGGCCTCGTGTGCCAACTCAAGTGCTTGGTTTGGGTTCAACCTTGCACGAGGGGATCCTGTGGCTTAAGCTAAGCGGTTGAAGGCAACACCGCATATATGGGCTATCGAATGAAGGCATCAAGCTAATGCATTGACTAAGTTCATTGAGGGACTTCATTATGCTAAAAGCGAGCTACGGATTGAGACGTAGCCTTACTCATGCTATACGTTGGTGCAACGCTAAGGTGCGCAATGCCCTTAGGCGGAATCTAACACACGTGTTGGCACGAGGACTATGCCGTGGGCAAGAGATTGACCCTTGGTGGTTTGTGGGCTTCACATGACCAAGCGGCCATCCAATATGCATCTATTGAGGCATGTTTGACCCTATGACACTTTGAGATGCTATCAAAGACCTAAACATGCAATGTTGGCTAGTCTGCTAAGTCGAGGGCCTTCGCTAGCACATTGTTGTGTGGCTAGACACCTTGATGACATGAACCTAAGTTGGGCGAGCACCTTGCTTGAGGTAAGCTTGACACTATGAAGCGACTTATGCCGTGCTTGGTGCACTTGAGGCGTTAGGCCTACTTGTGGCATCCGGGTGAAGACACAACTTCCTTGTGAAGTTGTTTTGCTTGACAAAGCATTGGGCCCTAATGACCAAACGGGTGAGATCATCAACACTCAATTTGTCAACAAGCTATGGCGGGTTTAAACATGGTGGAGTTTGAGCGCCACACGAGGGAAAAATTGATCCGCAGCGCCTCTAAAAGAGTCGGCCCGTGACACACAGCCAACTCCCATATCAAATTTTAACCATTTCATCTGTTTCCCAAAAAGCATCTAGTGATCATGATTTCCTTTGCTAATGTAGCAAATTTGGTGAAGTCAAAACTTGTGCCAAATTTGACACGAGATTTGGCACACCATTAGAGGGAGTATTTATGAGGGTATAGTAAAAAATAGCTCTGGCACAAGGATTTGGGACACCATTGGAGATGCTCTAATCTTTCAAAAAGGGGAGACATACTACATATCTGTTTTAAAGCTCAAATAGATCATAAAAATTTGAGGGTGGGCAACCTAGCATGAAAAATAATATATGGCCTGGACCAAAAGCCATCGTCTATTATATTTCTCTAGCTTATTCTGATCTGATAATTATGCTCATATTAAGTACTGCAAAACAAAAATCCCCAGGAGGCAATAGCATTAGGAGCTCAAAGGAACCTAAATGTAAGTTATCAAAATTCGATTGTCAATTGAATTCGAGCATATTAGGGTCAATTACACACTAAAATAAAATTAAAATACAGAAGGCAGAAAACGAAAACAACAAATGTGAATACATCAACAACTTTTAAACTGGGGAACGGACAGTGTTTAAAAGAGTACCCGTCGCCTGAAGGTATTGAAACTGCATCTGCAGACGTCACAGTACAATGCTTCCTGGAATGGCGGGGGTTCCATTGACATATCAGTAGTACTTTTTCTCAATCTCACTGGCGATTTGACGCCTTACAGTTTGCTGGATACTTCCCACACAAACAAATATGATCGGGATGTATTTACGGAGGCAACTATCTCTTCCTGTTTGGTTACACAATAATTAAGAAGGAAAAATAATAAATAAAAATAAAATAAATAAAGTTTTTCGGAGTCAGTTATTATTTTTTTGTGAAATAGACTTTAACAGAGTTGGATTGGGAGACTAAATTGGAATAATTTTTTTTATTTATTATTTATTATTTATTATTATTGGAGATCAAAATGACAGGAAGCCTCTAAATGCACCCCAATTTTTTGGTTGGGCACACCACCTTACTAATTTTTTTAATACCGTTTTACCCCCTAGGTAAAATGACCAAAATGGCCAAAACCCTAACTCCAGCAACCACCCAGCTACGATAGCCCCCAACTTTGGCCATCCTCTTCCCAGCTCCGACCACTCCTTCCCTACCCCTCCTGCCACTCCCTAGTCTTTCCTCGCCCTCCGATGCCACCCCCTAGCCATTCTGCACCCTCTGTCGTCGCCGCTGCGACCACCAGCAGCCCCTCCACCTCCACCACTGCAACACACCAAGCCCCCCGACCACCGACCCTCTCCTCCTCTTCCTCCTCCCCCTCCCTCAAAACCCTAGATTTCAAATCTAGGGTTTTTAGATTTGAAAACCCACCATCCACCGTGACCCCCTTCTTGTCACAGACCCCCTTCCCCTGCCGTGACCTCTTCTTCCTTCTTCTCCTCTCTGAAACCCTAGATTTCAGATCTAGGATTTTGAAATTTAGGATTTTGGAAAGGAGAAGAAAGAGAGAAAAGGAGGAGGAGAAGAAGAAGAAAAGAAAGTGTGGACAAACAGTGGAGAGGGGGCAATCAGTGGCGGAGGTGTGGCTACGATGGCAGTTGGGTGAGGGGATAAAAGCGCACTTACTTGGGATATTTGGGAAAAAAATGTCAAAATTCAAAAGTAGGGTTAGGGTGTCCAAAGAAGTGGGATGCCTAACCAAACTATTGATGTGCATTTAGAGCTATCCAAAATGACACAAAACTCATACTTTAGGCATGGTTGTTAAAATCGATTCACAATTCGATTAGTACGATTCATATGAGTTTCCACAAAAAAGATACAAATCGTTCTGTTGAATCGGAAAACGAGTAAATCGTATGATTCAGTGCGATTCAGAAAAGATTAGAAAACATATTCTGAAATCAAAATCCACTAGAGTAATTGGATTTTAAAAATTACAAATACAATTATACATCTCTCTATGTTTGTCTTTTCTTAGAGTTAACAAAAAATATATATATATATATATATATCAACCCAAAATCACCTAACTACCCTATTCTCCTTCCAGAAGATAAGAATTAGAGGATTACATGGACGGATCGTAAATAGCTTTTAAAGAGTTCGTGAATTGAAGTGAAAACCTTAACGAAACAGACAACTATTGATCAATCAAAAATAATTAAACGAGTCAAAAAACACAAACCCAACTTGAAGAGACGAACCTGATTCAGCACGACAATACGACGACTAAAAGAGAGTGCAATTGAGGAAGGGACGTAGCTACAAAGCAGGGATCGGAGCTTTTCATTCGCCGGAAAAACTTGGAGATGGTAGTATCATATGATCGTATTGACGATAAATCAATCCATTGATTGATTGGTGATAGCAAGGGGCAAAGACGAGCGAAAAGGTTGGTCACCGCCCAACGCCACGCGCGAATTCGCACGCACGAGAAGGAGAGGAATGGAAAGATGAGATACATGCTAAGCAAGCCGAGTCTTTTCTCGGGGGCATGCAGTCTGTTTGGTTCCCGTTGATACCATGAGTTAAGTAAAAAAAAGTTTTTAACTCCAAGTTTTGTGAGAGTTTCAATCTTTCAATCTAAATTTTTTGATTTTTTAATTTAAAAAAAAAACTTAGCATTTATTAACTTCTCTCAACCTCCAAGTCTTACCCTCATAATAACACTTTAATGTAAAGTATAAAAAAATTTCTTTGAAATCCAACACATGAATTCTTTAAAAAGTCTCAACAAATATGATTATTATCCCTCATAATAACACTTTAATGCATTAAGAACAAGCATAAAAAAAAAAAGGGTCATGCTTAAGTGTGCAACCCCCTTAAGGTTGCACACCATATGCAACCCAATTGTTAGCCGTTAGATTACAATAATTGATCAAGACCATTGAATTGTTTAATCGTGAAAAAGTTGAAACCGGGGCAACCGGTTAATGCTTGTATTTGCATGATTGCATCCCACTCACTCTCTGTATTTCGTCTCTATCTCTCTCTGTTCTCCTCTCTGTGTAAGGTTGAGTCAGTGTAACCGTTGATTTCCATTAACAGGGAGAAGCCCCTGTTGGGTTCGTTCCATTGACGAAGCTCTGTAGGGAACAGTATAACGGGCGATTTCCAACAACAACGTAACTAGAAGGCTGTGTTGATTCCATTGCTGAAGTGAAGCCCTTCTCTCGAACTAGATATGAGGTATGGAGCTGTGTCCCTCTCTCTGTCTCCCTCTCTGTCTCTCTGGCCCGTTCACTTCAGCTATTTTCCCTCAACTAAACCCCCATCCTAACTTCAACCGCTCTACGCTTCGCTCCAACGGAAACCCCTCCATTGGCAGCTAACCTTTCTCTTTCTGTTTCTCAAGCGAGTGTTTGTGTTTGCACAAACAGGTAAACCGTATGAAAATGTCATGTCCTACAAGGCTTGGGGTTAAAAACTCCCTTTTGCTTAATATATAGTATAGATAGATTCCTTAAAAAGTCCCAACACATATGATTATTATTAAAATATTAAATTTTAATATAATATAATATAAAAAACGACATTTAATTTCTTGAAAAATCTAACATATATGATTATTATCAAAATATTAAATTTTAATATAATATAAAAAAAAGAAAAAAAGAAGACATTTAAAAAAAAAGATTTAAAAATCACAATTCACATATATAGATAATTGTAAACATAATCCGTGCATAGCACGGGTGATATGCTAGTCTATACTATATATTAAGCAAAAGGGAGTTTTTAACCTCAAGGCCTGTGGGAGCTCCAATCTCATAATCCTAATTTTCCAATTTTTTGATTTAAAAAAAAAAATCAGCATTTATTGACTTCTCCCAACCCAACCTCAGCATTTATTGACTTCTTCCAACCCACAATTCCTTTTGACTTCTCTCATAATTATTGCAACGCTCTTTTCAATTTCTCCCATACACTATGGTTACACACAAAAATAAAAAAAGACAAGGATTTAGCTATAAATCTCAAAAAGATATAACATCTAAATTTGAATTATGATTTAATAATATAATTATGTATTTTTTTATGTATATCTATCAAAATTTTAAATCACTTAATATGAAAAATTAATCAATTTTCCAAAATTATTGATTTTTAATTTAGAAAATAGATTAAAAAAAACTATTAACTGATTTATTTATTTAATAACAAAAATATTTCATAATCTCTCCGTCCTAATCTCTCTAACAAATTTTCAAAAAAAAATATTAAAACTTGCATTCTTTTTCTCTTCCCCCAAAAATTAGATAATATTTTTTATTAAAGTTGTAGATATCTACTTATATTTTATATATTATATTATAACATAACAAAAAAAACTAGAAAACTAATTTTTTTTTTAAAGTTTATCTAAATAAACTTTAAATCAATAAAACTCACATGTCTATCACATATCTAACTGACATCATAACTTACCTAAATAATAATAATTAATTTTTTGATTTAAAAAAAAATCTCAGCATTTATTGACTTCTCCCAACCCAACCTCAGCATTTATTATTCTTTTGCCCTAATTTTGTTTCATTAAATTGTTTTGTTTATAATTTTAATGATTATATGTGTAAGTAATTTTTTTCGTAGCTACAAACAAATAAAAAAGTTGTAACTTATCGTTTTATTCATAATTTTTTTTTTTCAATGTAAGAGGGGCCCCCATTTCCGAAATTCGCCTTAGGCCTCCTAAATCTCAGGGCCAGCCTTGAGGGATCACTCAACTGAGCAAGGTAGGCCAAGCACACCTATGGGCTTCTTGGAGATTGCCCTTGAGTGCTTGGGCTCAAGGCTAAAGTACCATGTATGTTAGCCCCCAAGTGCTTGACCCCAAAGTGGAGCACCAACACATTTGTTGGTCCTGGTGTCACCACCCGATGCTGACACATGAAACCCAAAGCATATGGAGAGTATGATGTGGCAGTGACATGGAGCCAACAGTGACATGGAGCCAACAATGTGGATCTTTGTATCCACAAAAGGCATTGGAAACTTATATCCTACCCCCAAGTTTTGTATAATCTAAGATCATTGTGGCTTTTTGGGTGATGAAAATGCTTGGTTTCCATTTTTTTCTGTCCTCTGTTTGGAGGAACTTAATATATGCCCAATAGAGAATGAACCAAGTAGATGACAGAAAAATCAACCTTCTCTTGCCTTCTTTCTTTTCTTTTCCCACCTCTTTTTAGTGAGTAATAAACCCACCTGTAGTTGTCAATGGCATAAGATGCACGAGTGAAGTTGTTCTGATCAGTTGATATTGAAGATATTTCAACCATGGATTTGCATGACCAATCCCTGTCGTCACTGATTCCACGTCCGGGGAGTACAACATTGGTGGACGACCTTGAGAGTAAAGGTGACCGGTTTTGTTTTTGTTCTATACTTTCAGAAGCTGAACTACAAAGCCAACAGTAGACAGCAGCCATACACCTGACCATTTCTTCAGACAACTTGCTTGGGCACTGGTAGAGATGATCTTTTAGGGTTCGTAGCACAGAAGTTTTCTCCATTGTTGGTAGCAATTCCTGACCCTATAACAAATAATTAAGATCAGCTAACATAATGAAATGGCACGGCACCATCTAGTGTTGTGGACCAAAAATAAGTTGCAGTAAATAATCATAAACATGAGAAGGGTGTTTTTACATTCCATGGGGAAAATTCATTATGCTTTGTTTTCCCATGTTTAACAAAAGCATCACAACCTATTGCAAGAAAAAAAATGATAATAACTAGATTGGTTGCACTGCACCAGCATTGAATTGAACAAAAAAGTGAGGGACTCTTGATTTGGTGCTCTGCATTTTATGAAAATGGAATTAGAAATGCTACAGTACCTTATGCACACAACAATAACAAGACAAGAAAGAGAAAGCTGATTAAAGACCATTTGTAGAGGCTTACAGGACTACACCATGGTTGAACTCAACCAATAACCTAAACTATTGCAATAGATAGTTTAACGATGTAAATATATTTCACAAAATCCCCAAATAATCCAGTAGATATCACAAGAAGATTTCATTTACATTATCAACCAGGAAGAATGTTTCAAATGCTATCCAATACACAATTGAATGATTCTACTTCCTCCTAACACCCAACTATTAAATTGTTAACCAATATCTCATCTAAAAAGCTTAGGGTTTTAGAGAGAAGGGTAATTAATTATTTATATTCTCAACACATCTCTCACGTGTGGCCAAACTCTCCTCCATAAGCAGGCCAAACACATGGAAGCATATAATTATCAGGCAGGCCATGAAGTTCGAGCATAGCATATTTTGATTGCTATACTAAGATAACACATAGTGGATTGCTTGATTCTCTTGAAGATGATGGGCTATAAACTTCATAGTTTACTCCTTAATACTCTTATCCTTTTTTAATTCTTTCCTCGTAACGTTCTCACGGTGTACATATTTTTGACATGATGTAAACCTACAAGTGTATAAATAACATATTATTCATCCCTCTCTACTCACAGTGTGATAGAGATATACATTCCTTTGAATTCAATTTGGTATCCACATACAGCTTTAAGGTGTTGGAATCGTTTCAACCACGCCTCCCAGGCTGAAAAATTCCATAAAATCTTGCTGCTACTGCCAAAAACCCCTATATGGACAAGTAGGATATAAAAACATAATAATGCAAAGATAAGGAATCAAATATAAAATGTTAGAACAAATAATAAAGCCATCGTACATAACACATCACATTTTTAAAAAAAAAATTCTTTTATTTATTTATATTTAAGATGAAAAATCAATTTACAGAAGAAAAGAGTCAACTGGATGAGAAACACGCACAACCAATATGTACACTAAAGAAGAAGAATAAATGGGAAGAAATATCCTACCTTACGATGGTCTGACCAAGTCCTCTCAAATTGGTTGTTGGATTTGGAACTAAGCAATGAGGCATGTCTTGCCTTAGACTGCAACAGTAAGGTTCTTTTCCCCGCGTCATTTGCGGAAGCCAGAGCTTGAAAAGGTCTCAAAGGGAACTTTTTTGAGGAACAAAAGGCACTCGAAATTACACTTGGGTGTTTCCTAGATTCATTCTTCACATGGGCTGGCGAAGTCATGCCCGAGCATTGCTCAGAAGGAGGCCGACTAACACAATGTTCAAAAATGCTTCTGTAGAGAGAGAGAACATGCTGCTCGCGATTTGCAACCTCTTCTTCCAGTAGCTCGATCTCTGCTATCAATTCCTTTGTCTAAAATGAACCAGAATCTAGGGGGTTACTTTCCACTTAACTCACAAAATTAGTTGCACAAAAACAAAAATAAAAAAGCCACAATACAAAATTCTATGGGCATAAAAATAAGGAATGAATGCAGTTATGATAGTTGGACTATGAATAACCTGTGGGTGAATTCATATGTAAGCTTCACATTGAGAGAGAGGGTTATAGAACAACAAAATAAATACATTCATTGAAGTAGGAATATCAGTGAAATTAGGAATATATTGTCATTGTGTTTTTCCTATGATTCTTTCTACAAATTTTGGAATTCCAAAACAGTTTTAGGCTCCTTGGTTCTATTGGTTTCCCCCTAAGAAGCACGGACACGGACACGGACACGGACACAAACACATGACACAACACAAACACGCCGACATGACAATTTTCAAAAAATGCAAAACACGACATGTGGGGGACACGCACAGAATATATAATTTTATATATTTATTATATGTCATATATATGAATATATCATTCTAAGACAATAAATAAATACAATATAACACTAATTTTTATAAGTTGACCTTATTTTTCTTTTATTATCGTATTCTAAATTATTTTGTTCCAATTTATAATTAGTTCCATATGTGTCTAATCAATGGACACACGTGTTTAAGCAATGGACACGTGTATCCTCCAAGTGAACAAAGAGAGTCCAAGTCTAAATTCTTTTCACAAAAATAAGACACGTTTGGATGAATGTCGGACATATGTCGGGAAAGTGTCCGACACGGATACACACCCTTTTAGAAGTGTCTATGCTTCTTAGGTTTCTCCTAAATATGTAAATAAAATGCATAATGGTGAGTTGTCAAAAAACCAGTAAGGTTAGAGTTTACACAACACAATGGTGATGAATATTTGTAGGGTGACCAAAGTGATCATAATTACACTGACATCCCCTCAACTATACTGAATATTACTTGACCCCCCTCAATTGTAAAACTGTACATCTGGATGTTAATAAAAATTTCCAGCTATTTTTTGCATCAATGAATTGTATTAACTAATATTAATTATTTCAAATAGCAAAACTGCTGCTCTAGATTCGTTTTTGCGGAAGATCTTCAAATTTTGAGTTATCTCAAGTTACCTGCGCAACAAAATGCCTGTGTCCAGGAGATAAGGTACTAGAAACACGACCCATTGCCCTCTCAAGCACCATCCTCAAAGATTTCTCTTGCTGCAAACGCAATTGCAGCTGCTCAATCTGTAAATTAGTGCATTGTTTGTGAAAGAAAGTTGATACAAGTAGCTTATTAAAAAAAGGAATTTGAAGTATGCAGATTAAGGCCATAGGTGAAACTCAGTGTACGACAATATGCTCAACAGGTCAGTATTTTGTCATCGCTGTGGACAAGAACATTCAAAGAATATCCTTTGTCCACATGCAATCTCTCGCATGACACAAGATTCAATATTGAAAAGATCGTGCTCGGTTAGACTGTGATTTTCTTTTTTTACCCAAGGCTTGTAAGTTGTAAAGCAGGTATATTAATATGATTCCGTTGCATTGTATCCAGGGATGACAATATTTCAGACAATTAAACAAGACAGTTCTGGATATTTTCAAAGAGAAATAAAATGATTTGAAAGATCCAAAACCAAAAGTAGTGGACTTTGCTAGCAAAAACATAATGGAGGCTGTCAATCTATATAGATTGCTTCGAGATCTGATTCACAGCCAATATAGCCCCTCTGAGTATATATAATAAAACAATATTGCGTTGATTCTTTTCAATTCTTGGGTGGGAATTCCTATTTTCCTCATTGACCTATGAATATATCTAGCCACAACTTCAAGTACAAAATTTCAAGGGGCCAAATAGGAAAGGGTACAATATAATTCGCATAATCCACAATCTCAATTAAATGAAAATTCCCAAGCTTACATCCTTTTCCAAAGAGGCTCGATGACTTGATGCATTATCTGTGTTAGTGTTGATGGAGTACTCGAGAAGGGGACTTTGTGCTCCACAAGTGCTTTCTGACGGTTGCAATTCCTGCTATGTATAGATGTAGTTAGAAATGAGTTCATCTTTCAGATTCAACCTCATCACTAAAATACACATAAAGGTTAAAGAACATAAGTATCTTTAAATTGAAGCATTAGCTTGCATAAGAAACGGGAAGAGAAAATGAAAACAAACAAACATTGAGTAAGATTCAAGGTATTACATGTGATTCGGTGAAATCGTTCTGTATTGGATGTGAAACTCCACCTCTTGGATTATCCAAGTTCCTCTCAGTAGCACTGACAAAGCAAAGAATGAAATGCAAAAAAAAATCTTCAATAGATATGACAGACCTCTATGTTTCAATGCAATATTACAAAACTGCTAGAAGTCCAAAACAGGTCAACTCAGAAACTAAAATATTTTCCATAAGAACTCCAGGTAAACAGTCTTCAATCAAATGACAGGTGATTGTGTCCAATTCACAGGCTTAGAAATGGGAAGCCTCTAGACCACGATTAGAAGGAAAATGCATAAATTGGGAAAACTGACGGCATCTTTTTCAGGAATGTGTTGTGTTCTTTATGCCAATAACTTATTTGGAGAATTATTGAATTCTACTTAATTTGCTTATTGAGGCTAGCTGCCCATACAAAATTAGCTCAACATCTAATCACTCCCTGGTCTCTCCACACCAATCCCAAGTTACTCTACTCACCAAATTCCAAAATCTCTATTCACTTAACTTACATTCAACCTCTTTTTTACATTCAACTTCTTAACTTGCATTCAACCTATCCCAAGTTACTCTTATTTACATTCCAAAATCTTTTCCTTTCTATTAACATTTTTTTTTTTTGGCAAGAGGACAAGAGGGCTTGAGCTCCTAGCATCAAGGTTGACAAACCAACTAGATATTACTACACCCAGAAGGTAGGCGGTAACATAAATTCAATGCCAAGTTCCAGTTATTAATTGACAAACACAATGATGCCCAAAACAACTTCAGCTTTTAGAAGAGAATCCTTTTGGTATTCCATAACAACAATCAAACATCAACGTTTAAAAAAGAAAATGATAGCAAACCGACACCTTGTTATTGGCAGTAAATGAAAGCAAAACAAAACATTTTTATTGTACTGATTGCGCAGACGAAAGATTTTGGACAGAAATGGAATCACTATTCTTTGACCTCCCAATGAATAGCCATTCTCCTAAATTTCATTTGTAATGTACATCTCTTTTCTTCTTACCAGACACAACAATGAGTATTATGATAGAATGACCATTCCATTCCAGCCAACTGCCTAAATAATTTACACACATGCAGGGCTCATTCAGAATTTGAAAAATAAAAAACAAATAACTTGCCAAAAAAAGAAAAAGTCTGTTTTTCATCACCTTCTTTGATTAAAGAAAACCCAAACTCTTTCAAGTTCTAGTTTAGCATTTCACTCAATGATTAACCACTATAAACCAACATAAAAAATGAATTTGACCTAAAAAAAAAAAAACACACATAAGAAGCTAAGAAGTGCACCTCTTAGAGAGCCTGTGTTTGGCATGGAGATGCGAAACTGAGCAAGAATCTCCATTTTCTCTCCTACCACTACCAGCTGCCTCTTCATCTTCATCTACAGTGCAAACCTTGTGGGAGCTCCAATCTCCTAATCTAAATTTTCTGATTTAAAAAATAATAATAATAATAATAAACCTTAGCACTTATTAACTTCTCCCAACTCCTAAGTCTTACCCTTATAATAATACTTTAATGCATTAAGAACAAGCATAAAAAAATTCTTTGAAATCCAACACATATGAATTACTTGAAAAGTCCCAACACATATAATTATTATCTCTCATAATAACACTTCAATTCATTAAGAACAAGCATAAAAAATATTTCTTGAAAAGTCCAACACATATGATTATTATCAAAGTATTAAAATTTAATATAATACAATAAAAAAAAGGAAGACATTTAATTTCCTAAAAAGTCCAACACATATGATTATTATCAAAATATTAAACTTTAATATAATATAAAAAGGGAACAAAAGAAGACATTTAAAAAAAAAAAAGACATTAAAAAATCACAATTTACACATATAGATAATTGTAAATATATTAAGAAAAAGGGGGTTTCTAAACCCCAAGCCTTGTGGGAGCTCCAATCGCTCAATCTTAATTTTCTAAATTTTTTATTTAAAAAAAAAACCTCAGTATTTATTGATTTGATCAAAATCTCCTGATTAGCATTTATTTACTTTTCCAATCCACATACCTGCATTTATTGATTTGGTCAAAATCCCTGATTACCATTTAAAATCTACTCATATAAATAATTATAGATACAGCCCATGCATAGTTACTGCAGTAGTTTTTTTAATTTCTCCTGTATATTATGGTTAGTGATAAGATTATTAAATTATTTTTATAAAAAATCTTAAAAAACATAATTTATATATTAAAAAAAATTAAAACAAATATAAATATCTATAATTATCCCGTGCATAGCACGGGTGATAGGCTAGTAATACATAATTAAAATAAGAGGAGTGCTGGATATCCCCTCTAATCACCATTCCCACCACCCCACACACATATGGTAGGTGGTGATTGAAGGACAAGAAAAACAAAAAAGAAAAAAAAGAAAATTCAAACAATAAGAGAGAGGGAGGTCAAAGGGGTGGGAAAAAAAGAGGGTCTTAGACATTTTTGTTAAAATAAATAAAAATTTTCACATTTAAAAAATGACAAATAAAAAAATATTATTTAATAGAAGCCAATTACTATGAATAATATAGTAAAACCCAACTCAATGCTGAAACTCAACTCAAAATTAAACACAATCAAATACAAATTAAATTCAATAACATAGTCAATAAAATAAATTCAACTACTGTGAAATTCAACTGAAGTTTCCAGTATTTCTTTTTTCACTTCCCATTGACCAATATGAAATGAAGTCCATTATTATAGAATAATTAGGTGAATGACATGTCCCTAAAAATATAATTATATAATATATAGATTCAACTCATATATGTGACATATTTAAAGAAAGTCATTGTCATATCATACTATTCTGATATAAAATTATGTATAATTTTTTTTGTTGATCATTTTTTTTACTTCAATTTTTTCGTCCAACTGAGATTGACAAGAGATATGAAACAATGAAGAATCATATAATTATACAATACATGCGTGACTTGCACATTTTTTAAATTTGGATAGAAAATGTAGTGAAAGCTTGTTTAAACCAAGATCATGTGAGGCATAATGACTATTTTTAAATGATAGGAGATGAAGTGCTATAAGGTCAAACTATACAAGCATAATGTAGGTTTTGCCCAAAAGACTAAAAATAAAATTGTAGTCAGTTTCTTAAAAAGGGGACAGTTTAGAATTTATTTATTTGTAAAGGTGGGAAATAAAAATGAAAAGTCACTCCAAGATACACAAAGAGGGTTAAATACATAAATATTTCCCAAAATATGTGTCATTTTAATTCCTAATATTTTAATGTGTCAATATGGTCTTTTGTCATTAAATGGTCCCTACTTCCATTTCTGTTTCCGTCCACCACAGATATTAGAAGGGCATTTTAAACATGGATTGTTTGGGATGTTGTTGGCACCATAAATCTGTAATTATTATTATTATTTATATGGAGAACATGGAGCATGAAGTGGAAGTTGAAGGAAGTTATGGAAGATCATGTAGTATGAAATGGAGGAGATGGAAGAGTGGATAGTTAATATTTGCCTATAATTAGTCATTCATGGCTACATTGTAAAGGATCTAGAATTAAAATTAAAGAATTGATTTCAATATTTCTTGTCATTTTCTTTATCTTAGGAGTAGTTTAACATCTATATAATAAGAGAGAAGGGTTTTTGAAAATGTATAAAAATGTATCAGAGACACACTTCCTTTGAATGGTTGAGATGAATTTTAGATGTATATCAATGATTCAAATCAATCCTTTCAAATATAGTAAATGGAGGTAGTCCCCGCGCAAAAACTCTTCTCTCTCTCCCACGTCTCTGAAAGGCCGCCCACCTACCTACCTCTCTCTCTCTCTCTCTCTCTCTTTTCTCATCATTGATTTTAAACTCTCTTCCTCATATTGTCAACCAAACCTTCTCCATCTCTCTGGTTTCTGTTGGAACAATCTTCTGTGTAAAATAAAATAACTTGAAAATAAATTCAAACAAAATAAATAAATAACATACCGGATTTATTTATCGAACCGAATTAAAATTAAGACCAAGTCGAGTGTGTGACACTCTGTCCTTAAGACAGATTCGCCCCGCTACGGTGCTTACGGTTGAGTGGCGTCTATCTCCCAGGATACAATGATCTTCATAAATTGTAGTAGCACTCCAAACAATTTGTTCGGCAAACTAGAACCTGTGTTCTATACTCTCTTTGTTATTTTTCCTAAAACTAGAATGAAGGAAAATGCACTAAATAAAAGTTGGACAGCAATATAAAGAACGCAGACTGAATTTCGGGATCAATCAAGAATTGAAAAGTACGTATTAAATGGATGGATTGGATATGCTTGAAATGGTAGACAAATAACTAATTTAATGTTTTTATATAGATTAATGATTATATTTAAAAGTGGTTCAAGTTTGAAAAATCCTAAACCGATTAAATCACACCAAACTTAACCGTCAATCAGTTCGGTTTGGTGTGGTTCGATGGGAGAAGCGGTCTATATTAGTGTTCAAAATAACAAAATTGACATTATCGGTCCAGTATATTTATTTATTTTTTTCTAAATATCGACCATACCGAACCAGTTAGATCCCTATTAAAGGGGTAAATAGCATATGAGTCTGGGTAATGAGTCGGGTTTTGGAATGGGTTGAGTATTGTTTTGGTACTTGTGCGGGGAATCAATGTGTCCAATTTCCCTATCTTGAACTTATCACTAGATGAATGTGGGAAACGGTTTATGGGTGTCCATGGGCCTGCCGTTTCAAGAGTCGACAAATGTGGAAAAAAATATGGTTTTGGATGTCTAGAAGCCAACCATTTCAGGAATCAGCAAATGTGGAAGAGAAAGGTTTTGGGTGTCCATGACCCCGCTGTTTTTAGAGTCGGCAGATGTGGGAATATTTTCAGTATATAAGTCTATGTATGTATATATGGTTGTGCTGCTCTTGCTTAGGATGTCATAGCGTAATTATCATCCATGGTTATAGATGAGACTTTGAATTGAAATCATGCATTTAGCTTCATTGATTTTAAAAGAGAAGATACGGATTTTCTTCACACATGTATAATATGATCATATGATTTGATTTTTTAACCCGTTTGATCTGATTTGATTTTTTTTTTATTTATTTCACATATCGTTACTAAAATGACTATTGGACCACTTTAAATTCGTTTTACTGTAGTTATTTTTTAATGCGACAATTTCAATTTTAAAAATTGTCGTAGTTAATGTAATTAATGACTTTCAAATTAATCATCTGTGTAATTACTCTTATTTAAAGTACTTTTTCATTTGCATGATTAGTTTATTCACATTGGGCATCATATGAATTATATGAATGCAATGATTTGTTAAATTCAACCATTTTAAGCAATTTTAATGAGTAGGCTCTTAACAAAATTATAGAATTCATGAATTAATTTGTTTTACAACTATAAAAGCTGAGTTCAAGTTTTTATCTACTAAAATTTCAAATTCATGTTCAAGTGCATGGCTTCTTTGTGTTAATGATTAGGATTTCAATTTTTCCGTTAATTGATTTTGAAATTAATGAATTAATTGGTTTGAATTTGTAGTATCATACTGTTCAAGCTTTCATTAATCTCATTAGCAAAAGTCTTTTTATTTTTTTAGAATTCTCTGATTGGTTGTTGAGAATTTCATCGTTCTAGGTTAGTTTCATTAAGTCATTTAGAAATTTTCAAATTTTAAGCAATTTGTTAAGCTTTATATATTGCAAACCTTCTATCTTTAAAGCTTTGTCTTAAGTATTTCGATTTTCATCTAGACACTTCTATTAAATGATTTGGTAACTGTTTTGGACTGTAGGAGACCTTTAGGCATCATTAGTTTTACATTTGTTTTTGCGACAATTGATTTTTATCCTTTTGTTGATGAAGAAACTTATATTGATTTGTCACTTTCAAGTGTATGAAACTATGCACTTCGTTTTCAAGTGTAAATCTAAAACTTTATCATGTGCATATGTGAAAGTAATTTGTGAATATACTAATATACTTTCTGAATATTTGTTTTGATAGCTAAAAGAAGATTCTTTACCCATAAAGCGTCTTTTGACTATGTGTAGTAGTGTAAGTACATGCACATTGCATAGCAATAAATTTATATTGGTGTAACGCTAGGGAGTTTGAGGGTACTATTTTTGGTTTTATCGTTGACAAACTTTGAAAATGATTGATGTTGGTATAAAGTTAAAGATTATTTAGATGCAGATTGACTATGTGTAGCAGATTGACGTTGGTTTGAGAGGTAGACATTTGGAGGTGTTTGTTATTTTGATTTGGATCAAGAATACCATTTTCATATTGGCATGGTGTGCTCAAAAGGGAGAACACCATTTTGTTGTTCCTCTTATTTTCAAGTTGTGCCTATAATAAAGGGGATCTTGCTCAAATATATGTTATCTGTATGTCATGGGAAAATAGAATTTAGGTATATGTAACAGCCCTAAAATGCAAGTCGTGATTATATTAATTGAATTATGTGTTAATGAATGATTATATGACTTAATTGGGAAGTTTAATTGAAAATTGATTTTATCTGATTCGTTAAGGTGTGTTTGGGTTTCATTATTGTATTAAGCCATCTAGATACTGAAACTGACAGCCTAAATGAATCTAAATGGATTCAGAAACTAAAATTGGATACATGGATATGCTAATTGGAATTTTTAGAGTCATTTGGAAAATTTAATTGAAAATTTATTTCGTCTAATTCGTTAAGGTGTGTTTGGGTTTGCAACTTTACACTGCAAATTGAAGGCCTTAGAGGCTTCAAAAACCAGAACAGAATACATAATTAGAATAAGCATAATTTTTAGGACTTAGGCCTCGTTTGGCAACTGTCATTTTTAGCTAAAAACTCAAAAAGTTACTAAAAAAATTAAAAAGCCAACAGCCCATACCAAAAAGTCAAATATTCTATTTTCTCTCTACTTTTTGCACATCTTTTCGTAAAAAGTCAAAAAGTCATCCCAAACATGTTAGTTTTTTTTACATCACATTTTAGCCAAAAAACCAAAAAGTTAGTAA